CGCTGATTTATAGTCTCTATGGAGCTCAGAAACTGTCTTACTACCTTCTATATACTCCTTTTTTGTCTCAGATCGGCAGTAGTGACTTTCAATACGTGGTGTCGAATCACGTATTGAAAGTCACTCAGAAACCGATGCATGATTCGCATGCTTCCCTCTCTTTTTTGTCTGTAAGATCCCTTTGGTAAGGGAAACTTGTTTTTGTTGTACAGTGCGTATAATCCTGCTATTAATTCCTAATGTGGCCATGAACATCAGTTTACAGACACGAATCTTTTGGCCACCTAAATCTAAATGGAAAGCATTATTACTACCACGGTGGCTTTGGTCTTTTTTATATTGATATTTTGGTGTAACTGCAATCATACACGACGATATGAAATCGCGCTGCCGCTGAAGATCAGACATTTGCCAATATTCTGTGAATATTTTTCGCCTATTTTCTTCGGTAAACTTAGTAGAACATGTTAATCGCCATTTAGTACCACAAGGCGGTAACATTTGCTTTCCATCACGTGATACTAACATGGGCTGTTTAGTTCCATCCTCTGTTGTAATTATTTTAATAGATTCGTAAGGTTGACCACTATTTCTGAGAAATTTGGCTTTGTTTTTTTGCCACAAATCTTTATGACATTTTTTTTTCTTGACGTTTTGTTTTGTTTGAGAACGATTTGTAACACAACGTTTTTTGGAATTATTTTCTCCTAATGACGTGGTCGCTTCTTCATCAGATTCACTTGATGATGACGATGATGAGTCACTTTCACTACTTGCAAAATTTGGATCACGTACTGAATCATCTGAGTCAAAAGGATCTGTAAGCTTTTCTTCCTCATTATCTGCAGTACTGCTTCTATCCTCACTTCCTTCATTCAAATGACTTTGGCATTGAAATTTGGATAAATCGGGTTCTGTAAGAAAAATACCTTTTATTTTATAGTAAAATATTAATTCCTCACCTCTTACCGTTCTCAACGTTTTCAATTGGGATATTATCACCGCAGGTTATTTCTAATTGTTCAGCAATGGTTGGATTATTATCAATATCTTTTTCTAAAATAACATATTCTTTATTTATATGCGTATAATTATGATAGCAGTAATATAATTATCTTACCATTATCATGGTTCTTATTTTCATCAATATTGCAAGGTATAACTTCTATGTCTCCGTCTGAAAGAAAGTTATTTTAATTTGATGTGTACAAGAGTATAATAGTTTACCAGTGGTAACATTTTGAATTTTCCAAACTTTAGTGTCAGGGCTCTCACGTTGTTTTGACTCCGTCATAGAGTTAAAGTGCGATTCCTTGCTTTCTTTGGCAAGTTTTAGAATTAATTTTGAGCGGCTACTCATTGCTCCCGTGGAAATATTATAAAGAATTTAATTTCTCTAAAACAGAAGCATAGCAGCTAAGCATAATTTGCTTGTACTATCAAGAAAGAAAATAAAAAATATCTTATGTTTTTAGAACAAGACTGACCTATTTCAAAATGTTACATAGCAAAACACACAATTTGTAAAACTTTTTTTTGGAATACCGAATCATCTCGAATTAACACACTGAAGCAATAAAATAGTCAAATTATATTTCTTTACCTTTTGTAGAAGACTGTTTCAACTCAAAATATTACTGCCTTGAACAAAATAAACAAACACTTACACAGGAACAACTCAAAATATGACTATATTCTTCAAAATAAACTCATAGAAACTAGAAAAAATTTTACTTGTGACACTATTCTACAGAAAAACGCAACATTCCCTTACGAGACTTGCGGCACAACTAACATGTGACGCTCTTACTCAAAGAATCGGCATAACACGGCGGAAAACACAAACTGTCACATGTGACATCTAGAGATTATTATTACGAGCTACAACTTGTGACTCTTTTCTACATAAAGCGGAGAACACATATACGCGATCACGACCACGATCGCGATAGCGATTGCGTTAACGATTGCGATCATACGAAGCAGTGAACATATATACGCTATCGCGATATGGTCTTCGGGCGCGATTCACAATACAGACTAAAGAATGTGTAGCTTGATAGATGAAGAAGCGCTGCTCCTTGCGGTATTATTGGATGATAATAAATGCATTAATAAAAAGCGAAGGTACGTAGGGTTGTTAGTATTATTTTAATTAATTAATTTTGATAACGTTTCTAATATTAATACTAATATTTTATTACTATTCACTTATATTGTAGGAAAAAAAGGAATGTTTGGGTACATGAGATTAATAAAAAACGTAAAGAAGAAGGCGAATTTCATAAATTATACCCGGAACTTCGTAAAGATGAAAATCGATTCTACACATATTTTAGAATGAACTTTGAATGTTTTGATGAAATACTAATTCTTATTAGAGACGATATTACAAAAGAGCAAACCAAATATAGGGAACCAATTGGAGCCACAGAACGTTTAGCAGTCACATTAAGGTAATAATACTATTTAGATATTATTTATTTTTTACTAATACTACTATAACTCAAATACAAAAATACTATATAAAAAACTTTATATGATATTACGACTGAAATCCTCATACCAAGCTGCTGAAGATGAACTGTTATCAGCAGCTTCATCGATATTCCGG